GGACGGTTAGTTTGGGAGACGAAAATGCATGATGCCTGTTCTGAGTCCTATCATAATTATAGGCGATCAACTAAGATTGTATGTAAGTATACTCTACGGCAAATTTCGTGTTGAAAGGAGCACATAAGGCGGGAACTATGAGGCTAGGAAGCACTTTACAGCCTTTCTTACCTTTCGCCCCCTCATCAGTAGTGTGAGCAAATTGGTCCAACTTAAAGCTGAACCCGAAGTTTCAAAGGTAGGTCACAAGCCTGCCACACAATTGACCGCCCGGCAGCTAATCAGATCAAACTTTGCTCTCTCACTTAACAAACAGTCAGGATCAAAGGGTTTTTGATTGGTTAGTGATAAAAAATATGGTATCTAAGCCTCGACAGTCTGTGTCTGTCTTCCTGAATTCATGCCACACAGAGGGACAAACTTGAATGGTTTGTGAAAAAACACGCTAAAAATGTGGGCTTTCAGTGATGTGGTAAAAATGTGCTAAGAAATCCTTCATGGAAAAATAAATGGAGAACTTTCCTCTATTTTTGTGCTACGCTCGTAAACAAACAAACCAATAAATTAATTGGTCGGGAGGGTATGGGGAAAACATCAATACACTTCAACGAAATAATTCACTTCGCATCTTCAAGTTCATACTTCGTGTCTACTTTTCAAAGGGTTTTGTGAGAATTACGTAAATCAAATTTACAGCTATTTCTAAAGTTCCGAGAATAAGGTCTGCTGCCACTGATGTATTTTTACGAGATTATAAACGCATTTGAATTCTCATACATTAGACTATTCACAGTTGAAGGGAACAAAATATTCATCAAGAGACAACAACTGTTGAGAACTCAACGATTAATAATAATCGTAATCATCCCTTGGAGCAACGCTCAAACTCCGGGAAGAATTTATTACGCTATGATAGTACGAAAGTAAAGAAAACCTTATGGTTTAAATTGATTCAGATAGCGGAGCTGTATGCCATAATAAAGTGCGAATTACCCCAGATACGATTAAATAATGCAGTATAGAGAAATGCTGTTATTATTCCAGCGTAATTTTTAAAAAACCAGCACATGTGGCTGAGCACAATACAGTTTGAAACACCGGGACAAATAACAATGCAGCAGTTGAGCGTAACAGGCAGTATGCATCTGGAGAAGCAACGGAATATCTGTTGAGTTAAACTCTGAGGTAGGAAGTAAGAAGAAATTCTGTGACATAAGTTCTTTCTGAGTTGGTTGGGTGTTAGTGTTCGTAGAACTTTAAATAATAGAATGTAAAATGAGGTAAACAAAGAACACCATGATTTCCGAGATATCCGTTGAAATGTACCGTTTACGATCGTGGGAAAAGAGGACAACTTGTTGATGAACTTAATATTACAGGTAAATACATTATTGTAATTTGCAAGCCCCCAAACCAATAGTTTGTGAACATTGGTATCCCCTTGTTTGAAATCACTAAATTGTGTCTTTTAAACGAAATTACCTTCAGCCGATTTTGGAGGATTCGTGGTCAGTGCAAGCGAAAGCAAATGGTCCTCAGAAGCACAATCATTTCACATCTTGCCGAATGACTGTGACTGTGCGCGGTGTGTTTCGCATATCATACTGCGTTCGGTCTCGGCGATCAAGAGTTCCATTATAGCCAAAACGTAATTGGGAGGCTTTTGATGACATACATTTCCCCCTCAGTGAGGTGCCAAAAATACTTTTTAAAGCACAGTATCTCTCGTAGGACCCTACATATGGTGAGAATCCATTCTACTTTCTGTATGGTACGAAAAAGGGAGGCTAAGAAAAATCGAAATCGTAGGCAAAGTCATACCCAATTTGTAAACTTCGCGAAAAAGGCGGGTCTATTTAATTCTCAAATAATGTACCATCCCTTCTCAAAAAAAAGGCTAAGATAAAAGTGTGGTGTATTTGCTACTTGGCAAACTAGTGCTGTTCAGCTACCTCACTAAACCGTTTGCGTTGCATCTTATGCTGCGTTCCCGGGAGTTTCTGTCTTCATTTCAGCGAGATGTACTTTTTGAATTATTTTTTCCACGTCGTTTATGCATAAGCTTTGTTCACAAGTCAAGTTAAGTCAAGTCATTAGTAGCTTTATGCGTTGAGGATGCTAATCGACTTTCTGTATTCGACCACCGATGTCTCCGAAGCGTGGCCCGTGTCTGGTGGGAACACCGGGTGAGTAATGACGAGGTTCGTTGTCGTGTGTTGGGTGTGGATAGTCGCTCTCTCACAGAAGTAATCTCTATACACCGCCTCCGATGGTTTGGTCACGTATTGCGTATGCCTGCTCATAGACTACCTTTCGGTGCTCTCTTCGCACGTGCTGGGCAAGGCTGTGAGAAGCGGCGCGGCGGTCAGACCGTAACATGGCGTAGAGGTATGANGCTTCGGTTGGTGCAGCCCGCCTTCCAGGTTGGGGCCCAAGGGATGAGGATTGTCGTTGGTTAGAGACACTGAGACATATGGCCCTGAATAGAAGTCAGTGGTCCGAATGCTGTACGGTCTGCCTGTTGAAATCCCGTGCCCCGTAAAAAAAAAATATCAAAAGATGTACGGTGAAACATCAAAAAAATGTTGTTGTCCCAGATATCTTCCATTTTTCCGTGTTTAACTGTTCTAGCCCTCTTTCACCCTGTTCTGTACTCCAATCCACCTGTTCCCTTTCATTTTTATTGTAATTATTGTTGCTGCGTTGGCACCATGCTTGTCTACAAGCCGGAGGTATATATATCTATATATATAATGCACCCGGATGGGTGAATTTTCAGCATTTACACCATATTTGTGGATTCAAATTTACAAAATCATTACACAATGAAAGTGAAAGCAGTAGATCGTGTTTGGCAATGAAGCAAGCATTTGCGCAATTCTGCGGAAATTTTCTTGTCAATAAGTAGACGCGCTAGAAATGGCAAAACAGAATTACGATAAGCAGAGGTAAGTGCAAATAAAATTTTAACTCTTGAGCGTGTGGATAATGTAGATACAGCTTTTGAAAATTCGCTGTGGAATAGGTGGTGAGTGTCTGAGAGTATTTTGACGGTGAAACTTTTACATGCTTTTAGGTGTCTGTCTATGATAGAATGATGATTTATTATGTAAGCAAACCTGTTTTAGAATAGAAATTCATTCGATTTCTTTGAAAATTTAGTTCAACTTCGCCGTTCCTTGATACTGCTTCCAGATTTCTACCTTTTCCACTTACGCGTTCATCAAAATGGGCAAAAGACATCAACCAAAGCAACCCGAAAACGAAAGTACAATGTTTCATCAGGTGAAATTGAACTGAGCTGATAAATTGAAGGCATTCGGTTTTTCTGCTCAACCTTCCGTTTCGATCTGTCTGATGAACTAAACGCCATTCATTGATCTAAAAGGAGAGTGTTGGACACAAGCAAAACTTTTGAGCTTCCACTTTTAAGGTTTCCACGTTATTCAACTTCCGATTTGACAATGTCAATGTATTACATCACAAAGGGCCGTTTGTTGGGGTGAGATCACTCTAATTTGAAGCTTTTCTGTTGAAAAATTTTAATGATTGCATTAACCCTAGGCTTTGTTCAGCTTCGTACATTCAATCTCTTGTGAATTGATAGAACGTAGTAAATTGTTACCGCGAAAATAAATGTCGTTAGTATTTTACTTTATGCTAATTGGGATGAGCTGACACAGTCTCATCAGAGACAAGCTGTGTTATCTCATTTATTGATAGAACTTCACACACAATAACATGTCGATGACTCACTCACTGTCATGTATTTATACCCAAGGCATAATTACATACGCGTGGTTATTGTAGGCACGGTCACAACACGACCGATTCAGTTACGGATAATGGACTATGTAAAGGCTTCGTATTAGGACTTCCCATTACGTCCCGGGCTTTCAGATCCGATACTCAGATTACAATACCGGTACTTGCCATCACTTTGCACCAACAACAGGAGTTAACCCTTATTCGACGGAGTCCCAAACTTGATTAAAACAAATTTTAAACAGTTCCACAGAGCTCATGACGAGAACACAAACAATTTGTGTTCTCATTATAAAACAAAGTTGTGTTATTTGCTCGATTGCTGAGTTATTAAGTAACTTGGTATCAGTTCACTGGGAGAGTTAAACCAATCATTTAGATGTCAGACAGTGAATCAGATGATAGTGTAGTGATTCAGAAAAGCGTTTTACCTACCCTTGGTCTCACACATGGTGTTCCTGTTTGTCTAAGATTGGGCGGAGCCTGGTCTGCGCTAAACCTTTGTGGTGATCTGCCGGAAGTAACTGTGAGCTTGAAGTATCTCGGAAGCTTGAAAAAGAGTTGCCTGTTCGTCATCACAGTTTGTACGCTCATAGACTGAAGTCGCGATACAACAAAAGACGAGTTCTACCATCAGCTACCCAAACTTCTCCAAAGCAGACTGTAGTCAAATGACTCCGTCTTTTGGGAGACTGTAATGGCGGGGTTTGTTTCAANAGCTCAAAGTTGAGGTATCGGGTGACGCTTCCCAAAAGTTCCACTGGTGCTGCTATTGTGCACGAGAATAGAGTGATAATGATTTGGACGGATCGATACAATTTCTCTGATGAAGGAGAAGCCTGATTCCATTGTTTCTCAAATTTTATCAAGACTCTTTATCAAAGCACATATACAATTCAAATGTTATCTGTTTTCAACCATGCATCTACATTAGTTAATATAGGGGAAGATGAGGGAATTAAATCAGGGCCCTAGCGGACTGTCTGTAGATTCCACTTCCATTTTCTGCTGCTGCTTCTACTGCAGTTATGTTGTTGTTATGAGCATTTGCATAGCGATCCTAAACATCAGTATTCGACGAAACTTAAACAAATCCGATTCAATCAGTGAATTACTGACGATACATCCAATCGTATACTTCACGTTCCTTTTCTGCTGTCCACCGATTTCAGCTTATTTTGCTTCGTTACTTTACTGAATGATAATTTCACACTTATACGATTCGGAATTGTGATATGGGTGATATAAAGTCGTATGAAAAAGTGAGAAATATTGGAGAGGGGGCCTTTGGCAAAGCAATTTTGGTATTGTGCAAAAAGGAGAATGTGCATCGAGTTATTAAAGAAATCAATATCAGCAAGGTGAGCACATTTCGATGTATTTGACAGTCATCTTGGATCAAAAGATGTCACCAAAAGAAAGAGAAGAGGCCCGTAAAGAGGTAAGTGGATGACTGGTAAATTTTCCCTCATTATATTTCGAAGGCAGCGAATAATCTAATTGTATAGATAGAAGTTAAACATGTGGAAAAGGATTTGTCATGCAATGTTATAATGTTTCATCTGACGCTAAAAATGCTTTAAAGACATTACTCAGCTACTTCGTTCTTATCATGATTTGAGGACAGAAAGCGCTCATCGAGAATCATAATTGTTCTACTGGAACTTTGTTTTGAGTTCAAATTTGCCATATTTTTTCTCCCCAACTTGCACAAGATATTTTACTGCGATAGAATACGTTGAATCTATTTGTGTTCATTGCATAAATGTTAGTAAACCTATTGACTATAGTTTAATAAATCGCCAATATTCATACTCGATTTTACATTGTTTGCATTCATGAGTGACATTTAATGATATAAAGCGAATCGCACCAGTAGTGCAAAGTTGATGCCGTTCCGAAGGTCGCTAGGAACATTTTTCGCCGACTCTCAATAAGCATTTGTAGTTGGACCGTGGTTTTAAAATGAGTCTGCTGTGGAATCTGTCTAGTTAGGTTTTTTTCATGATAGACAAACATCAGAATACATAATCGCTAACCTCAAAAGAAAATTTTCGGACAATACGTTTTGATTTCAAACTATACGCAATATATATTCTATAATGTACTATATATAAATTATTGTTTTTTTAACTATTCACGATGTGATGGAACCCGTTGTTTCATCCAAGTATTGTAAAAACTCACTGATTCCCTTTTTCTTGTCCCATTCGCTAAATTCAGGTGGCGGTGCTAGCTAAAATGAATCATCCAAATATTGTCCGCTATTGTGATTCATTTGAAGGTGAGTTCTTTCTGTGAACGTTGTATCAGACTCACCGGTATGGAAAATAGACTGTGGCTCATTGTATATCGTCATGGAGTACTGTGATCAAGGGGATTTGTATCACAAAATCAGTGCTCAAAAAGGAGTCCTTTTTCCGGAATCTCAGGTAGGTCCCCGCTTCATCGTGCATGCATAAATTCTCTTGTTTACAGATATTAGACTATTTCACCCAAATTGCATTGGCCTTGAAACACATACATGATCGAATGATTCTGCATCGCGACATCAAGACACAGGTATATTTGTGATTTGTTTGGCCGAGGATGACCAATGCACGTTTGTTTTGCAGAATATTTTTCTCACTTCTGATGGGAAACTTAAACTAGGTGATTTCGGCATCGCCAAAGTACTGAATCACACGTTGGATCTGGCACGTACGTGTATTGGGACACCATACTATTTGTCACCGGAAATATGTGAGAGTAAACCGTACAATCATAAAAGTGATATATGGGCATTGGGTTGCGTACTGTACGAGATGAGCACACTTAAACATGCGGTAAGTACCGGTTAGATTGGTCAAACAGGAATTTAGTTTGAAGCGGGAAATATGAAAAACTTGGTCCTGAAAATTATCCGGTACGTGCTCTCTTGCAACCGAGCTTAATGATATGATCGGTATTATATAACTTTGTTTCTCTAGTGGAACGTATCCTCCGGTTTCGGCAAAATACAGCTATGAGCTGCGTTGTCTCATCTCCCAGCTGTTTCGACGAAATCCACGGTACGTGCGGTTTTGTTTCAATGGCAATCAACTTTTCTTGAACACATTTAGCGAAAGACCTTGCATCTCCACCATACTGAGAAAACCGTTTATTGCCAGACGTATACACCGATTTTTAACCGAAGAAGTAAGTTCTGATATGTGATGTGGTTCCATTTAAAAAGGCATTGAATGTAGAATTCGGAGTTTGGCAAGGTCATTCCCGAGTTAATTTACTTTATTTTTATAGTTTCTGTGCTCACCGATTTTACACGTTTTGCTCTCCCTTTGGCGGCCCATCACGTGATTTATCACAAACCTGAATGATAGAAATTTTTAGTTTACCCAACATTGAACACTGATTTGGATTATTGTCATGTGGTTACCAATTTGGTCAAGGAAATGGTAAGTGGAATCAGAGAAAGCGGAAGGCAGGACTAAAGAAACCGAATTCAGGTAAACTATACCTTTTCAAATTCAAGTGAATCCTTTGTAACTTCAAATGAATCTAACCAAAAGCATTCTACTAGGAACCCCACAAAGCGATTAGTGTTTTTGCCGTCATATGTCACCGATCGAACCGGGTCCAGCAAAACCCCGTCCAGTCGGAGTGAACTGATTTATCCATAGATAAACAGGTGATTTTGAGTGAGTTACCGAGTAAGAACGACAGTTTCGGTGGGGTGGGGTGGGGTTTGACTGTTCGTCCCCCGACCCCACTCGGGAAAGCTATGTGCCTGACCGTTGATCGAGTGAGCCTAAGACAAGGATGAACTAACCCGGCGTTAACTGACATCGGTCGGCCAAACAAAGAAACGATTCACGCCTAGATGGAACGATAAATCGGTTACCATGCTCAGGTGTGAATGTTGGAGTGAATGGTTGCATGAGTGGGTTCACTCTAGGCCCAGAGAGTAAATTCCAGTGAGGCAGAGGCCCCCTTGAATAACACCGATTCCTTTTGCATCAGATGCAATTTCAAAGAGGGACTTCGTCGTGCATAGAGCAAATAAAGTGTGGACTGAAAATCTAGGAAGCACCGTACAGATGTTTTCATCTGGTTGAGTCTCATCAGCAGTACGAATCCATTGACCCAACCGGGGATCGAACCCGGGGCCTCACAGGCAGAACATAAGCATACTACTCACTCGGCCACCGGGCAGCAAATCAGACCGTTTTTCATTTTCCATTAAGCTATATAGCACAACCCATCTTTTAGAGCTCTTTGTGAGTATCGCGCCTCACTGATCTCAGAACTACCTTCCGGAGTTATGACTCGGCTGGGAACTTTAACAATCTGACCATTTGTTACATGAGAATATTGAAGGATCTGATTTAACTGCAATTTTTTAAATATTTTTGGCATAGAAAGACACAATTGATAAGATAATTACCAATGGTAGAAGGATACTACGGAAGAATTTACTGTATTGCATCTGAACAGTGAGATTAAATTTGAACTCACTAGCTAACAGAAAGTACACTTTTTCTCTGCAACTCCCGTGTTACCTAATTCATTTGATCCACAATGCTATGCCACCAATGCCAAAATACTGTCACTTATATCTTCTCCTTTGTTACTTAACTTCGGTGCATAGGTTCTTATCCTCGTTGCATCATTTAACATCCTCGTCGCACCTATTCACAACCTGATTACATTTCTATGATCCTTTTAGTTCATTGAGTGGGATATATGGTGATAAGGATAACTCAGTTATCCATGATTATACCTGGTACTTCAAGAGGTATTAAGTAGAGGTAGGCACAATATTCGACCCACGGTTGCCTTAGTCCTAAAATCCTAGAAATATATTACAGAGTGACATAGAAGGAGAATAGATGCACGAGCTCCACAGTTTAACATATTCTGCCATATCACTCCTTATATGGAACCATTGAGTAAGTCATTGACGGTGTTCCCAATTTGGAAACCTAATGTGACCAACTTGACCAACGTCATTCCCTTATGCCTCAGTCTGACCTTCCTTCTGGCAACTACCAGTAACCTTAGCAAAAGTTGCACTCTGTTAAGAAACCCGTCTGCTGCAATGCATATTAGATGCTCCAAACACCGCAACTCACGAAAGCCAAGTACCAGCGTTAGTGCACAAGTGAGACTACTTAGTAATCTTCGCCAAGCCTGGAAATTGGGTGTAACATTATCCCACCAGATTCGTCTAGTGTGGCGTAGGCACTGGTGTTTGAGCGCCAATAGTCTGTGGATATACTCCTCACTGTTTATAGCTTCCATCTACACCAACAGTAGAAAGGGACCTTTTTCCAAACTTCGACCTGAGTAAATATATATATATATATACCACATGCCTAGGAAGAACTGAGAAGTTTGCCACAATTTCGTCTGTTTTTGGAGCATCAGAAATGAATGGTTTGTTCATGAAAGATGGACTTATCCGGCTTAACCCCGGGAGTTACTGAGTAAAAACCGCCATGCTGTTGTTTCGTCTCTGTATAAAGATTCAAAAGCTTTTCAATAAGAAGTGACACGTTAACTCTGCTTGATGAACCCACCCTTCCATTACTGGACGAAATTCCTCAAACTATTTCACACATACGGATCGGTTTGTTTACAGACTAGGATGATGTTCTGTAATATTAGAAATGCAAGAGATGATTATCAGTGTTAGTTCGAAACTCTATGCTAAATGAACACCTAATCAAAGTTGTATTTTTATGAATCAAACCACTTTGATTCATGAACGTGAATATTTTTTTCTGGACCCTTTTGTAGTTGGTTTACCATACCAAATGGACTCATATCTACGTGTTTATCAGAAAAGATCTGCTCTCTGTGTTTTACACTAGGTCTAGAAATGGTTGCAAGAGGTCAGATACGGTTACAAAGCAAGTTCAAAAAATTTCAAGATCCGCCTTCACCTACTGCATGTTGGATTTCGGTGATCTTGATACCTTTCCCAATTCACGATCAACAGACTAGATCATAAGTGCTCTTCAAACACCTTGTTTTTTGGTTTCACTGAAGGATCATTTCGATGGAAAAATATTCCACTAGTCTGTTTGAATAAATTTAAATTTCGTTACTCTCCGTAATCGGGCTCAGTTCAGTTCAGTTTTTACCATCATTAATCATGCACTGTCGTGCCCCGGTTTGGGTTGCTGTCTTTTGGTGCCCCATTTGGATAAAAGAGCAGAATGAAGATTGGAATGTTGGAAGCAACTTCAAGCGGAAGATGGAGAATTCATATAGAATAGTGATAGGGGAATAATGAGTGGATGCACGAGCGCCACTGTTTGCGACACCCAGCCATATCACTCAGTGTCTCTAGCCATCGGTGATCATCATCCCGAGGTCCCCAGTCAGGGAGCCTAACGTGGCCTATGTGACCTAGTCTCCCGGTTAGGGTTTTCATACCCTCATGCCAGGCTCAACTTGCTGGTTAAGATAAGCATCTCTTAACACAGCTGGCACGTTTATCCTTCTGACTTTCTGGTACTAGTGTCAACCTTGGTCGATCACGATATCCCAAGTATATGCTTTCGGAGACCTGCAACAGTAGTTCTGTATGATTACTTTAGTTTTTTCTTCGTGTTGATTGCCTATTTCTAGGCATCTCATCACTTTCAGACTTTCTTTATTCTATTTTCCCAATAGATTCAACGAAAATCGGAAGAGTATAAGCACTCGAACACGCAATTATGCTCACATTTACTCTCTGTGTACAGTGGTCAAAATTCAGCACCGTATGGTGATCTCGGTTGAACTTACATGCAAACATATAACTTTTGACACAAACAATTTGGCCTGACAGTTGAATGCTGCATTAACTTTCTGCCAACGTACTGACGATGCGTCAAAAGATTTTCTATCAGAAAACATATGGCTGCATGTAGTAGTCACCGGTGAACATTGTGTCGTTTTAGAACAAAGNATACATAAGTTGTTTCGATCTTGTTGCGTCTCATCAGCAATGCGAATTCATCAACCCAACTGAGGAACGCCCCCAGGACATCACATGCAAAACACAAGTATACTACCCAATTTGCCTTGGAACTTGGAACTTTTCTCAGATCGAATGATAGCCGTGGAGACCAATGCAAGATGAGCGAGATGAGACGCCAGCAATCAGTTTCCCAAGATAGGTTTTGTCACATTGTTTATGAACAAAACGAAAAATTCCTATCAACTTGAATTCGGTCAAGTGATTAGTGTACTTGCGTTCCTCGTTTGAGGCTCCTCCTTCGATACTCATTTGGGTCGATGGACTTGAACTGATACTGCGACACAACAAGGTCGAAACAACTGTACAATACCTCGTAGCTTTTCAGTTTACATTTCTTTTGCTCCGTATGCGAAGAAGTTTATTATAACCTCTGATTAAATCCTCCCCCACTTCCTAGATAACGATGAATCAATCACTACGAATTTCCACTTTTCTCTCCACATATGCTATACTGATTCTACACAATTTTCTGACGCATGCACCATTCTGGTTAACAATTTATTCTCCTCCATTTGGCCTACTCTCGTGGTGTTTTAGCAAGTTGCGGAGGAATTTAGTCACACTGTTCTGCATCGCTCAAAGTCCCAGCCGCAAGATGCACGCTCCGGTGGAACACCCCAACTGAATGGATGCAAAAGAGCCACTTCTAGTCCAAGCTCGAGGCCCAGCAAACCAATTATGGCGAAAAAACCGAAGGCGTCGTAAGTGATTAACCAAAACCTTTACTGCAATTGAATTATTTCTGGGTCTTTTTGCTATATCCCATGCTATCCCTGACTCATCCATCGACCTTTCATTTATTAAACAAAGAATATCAAAAGAAACCTGAAAAATAATTGTTTTTTGCAAATAACGTATTCACCTATTTTAGAGATGTTCGAAAACCGTTAGTGTAAATCAGTTGCTGGGACTCCGTTGTTATCAACGGGGTTATATCCATCAGTCGAATATAGGTCTCAGTTGGTCATATTGTTGATTTACAAAGCGATCAAGGGAAGCTATCACCTTAGTTTCAGTAAGTGCAACCAAAAAATAAAAAGTATTCAAATATGTAAGTTGAAACAAACAAAAGAGCATTGATATTCTTGTCTTTCTGATTTTCTGTATTTCAGTTCCTCTCATCTTTCTCATTTGTACCCAAATATCCTTTTCCATTATTGTTGTTGTCTGGTTGACCACTGAACCTCTCCATTTTCTTTTCGACTCCACTTTCAACTTTCCTTTCTTCTCCTATTCTTCATCCCAGTGGGCAGCCAAAAGACAGCAACCAAAACCGGTGCTCGGATATGCGTGGTTAATGGTTGTTCAAACTGAAACTGAAAAACTGGTGCATGATAATAGCAGTCAGTGATCAGCGCAAATTTAAAATAGGCAATCTCTGTCATTTGTCCGGCTACATGAAGTTGAATCTGGGCCGTCTAGGCACCTTTCTGCTTCCTCTATTGATTCCATTTGAGCTTTGAAGTCACCAGCGACTACTAAGACGTCCGTTGAGTGAATACCTTGGAGCTGTCGAGAAAGATCATTGTAATGGACATCCTTCTTTCCAAATGCACTGCAATCAGTCTATGCGTACAAGGATGAGAAGAACAGGCAGCGATGCCTTGTTCTGTTGCTGTCGACCCGTTCTGAGCAGTCGAGACGTAGGGACAACATTGGTTTGATCACTAATCCAGTCAAAAAATGAGCGCTTAGCCTTGACACTTAGCGTAACCGATAGTTAGACACTGAGCGATATGGCTGGGTGTCGTAAACAGTGGCGTTCGTGCATCTCCTTAATTTCTTTACAATCTGAGATCACTGAACTTCTCCATTTTCTTTTCAACTCCACTTTCAACTTTCCTTNTGCATGATAAGAGCAGTCAGTGGTCAGCGCAAATTTAAAATAGGCAATCTATGTCATTTGTCCGGCTACATGAGGTTGAATCTGGGCCGTCTAGGCACCTTTCTGCTTCCTCTATTGATTCCATTTGAGCTTTGAAGTCACCAGCGACTACTAAGACGTCCGTTGAGTGAATACTTTTGAGCTGTCGAGAAAGATCATTGTAGTAGACACCCTTCTTTGCAAATGCACTGTGATCAGCCTATGCATACAAGGATGAGAAGAACAGGCAGCGACGCCTTGTTCTGTTGCTATCGACCCGTTCTGAACAGTTGAGACGTAGGGACGACATTGGTTTGATCACGAATCCAGTCAAAGAATGAGCGCTTGGCCTTGACACTTAGCGCAATCCCAACGCCTATAATACCGCGGCGTTCAGATACCAAATTGCCCGACATATGGAGAAAGAAACATGAGGGTGAGGTTCAGTCTGAAGAATGTAGTAGTAGAATGTAGTAGTAGTAAGGTATGTGGGGATTCGCATGCGTGATTCTGAGACACAGCATACGTCCGCATCAAAGGTGCCAACGGTTCTAACCAATCCAGCTTGTTGACCGATCTGACTGAACGTGCGAACNTATATATATCCAGAAACAAATATCTAAAACAAATAAAATAACTATATAAAAAGTTGAACACCGCTGCTGATAGTTCTGCAGATCCACTGAGGCCATAATTGAAGCCGGTGAACATTTCCTACTTTCATTATATTTTTAATTATGTGATTCATGAAGCCAATTCCAACATATTCACTTAAAACATCTCGATTAATGCAAAACCGCCCCATTTTGACTCTGAGAGATCCGCATGAACAAGACATAGAAGGAACCAATCCATTAATCGTGAACAGCGAATCAGTGAAACGTGGCATATCAAAGCGATGAACTTATCAGTATACATGGGTTCAGTTCACCGAATCCTCTATTAAACCATAAGGCCCCTATCAAGTGGAAGTTCAAAAACTTGAAACGTAAATACCGAATCTGCTGGAATGTTAATGTTGAAACGTTTTCCCCATATTTTATGATACATTTTAAAATATCACTAGTCCATACCTTTCATGACAGAATTACGTTCTTCAGAATAAGTCATTTTATTTCTCTTTTTTGTGAACAGAGATTTATCGGCAATCAAGAAAGTGGCTCGATCCCGTTGTTCTGAACCCGGATCTCCAGCGGCGAACAGAAATTCGGGCGTTACCACACCGTCCTCGGCCAGTTCGAACGCCGATCCGGAGCAAAGGAAAAAGGTAGAAAATTGTTTGATAGAATTCAGTCGACGAAGGCAGAAAGAAGTGGTTGAAAAACAGCAGGTAATTTCCCTACATTACATGTTCTTCTCTGCTAGTCGTTCCGAGGATAGTAAAAATAATACCACTTTTGTAAGCTATTGAATAAAACAGTGTATTTGCACTCAGTATGCCCTCAGTGAGAATGTCGCTGTATGCGCAACACTTATTAGGGTCGTGCGAGAGAGGCTGTTGAAGCTTGAATATTTTCACGAGTTATTTCTAAGTAAAAGCACGATTGGTAGACGCGGATTCCTATCGTCACTGCCCCGTATAATGCACAACCGCTTACGGACCTCCAATACTGAGCACTGTGTAATGTGACTGGACAAGATACGATCCATTCGCTTCGCCATAAAGTCTCAGGAGATACTACTCACAAATTATTGTTTTTACACGAGTCACATGCACTGTTCTGTCTGTGCTGAAGATATCCTTCTGTTATTCCATGCATATTCACGGACATCAAGGTCTGTGTATTTTTGTTCTCTCTATGGTCTCACTCCTTAGGATTTCACTCAGTCCTCCGATATTTTCAGCCTTGTTTTAAAAGGTGTTTGTTAGAGTCCATAACTGGCAATAGGCAGCACGTTGTGTATAGAGAATAATAGGATTTCTAACTTTTTAACCGGACTACGAGGAAAACTAGTAAACTAAATTATCACTCAATAGCATTTTCGTAATTTGAAAGGAAAATCTACAAACGTTCTGTGTTCTCTCTAATAGATGGAAGCAAGAAATCGTGCCCGGGAAATCGGTTGGCGAAGCATTTTAGAGGCCCGACCTGGTAAAGCCGAGTCTCGGTCAACTTCCATCACTCTATCAGCGAATCCGATCCCAGTAAGTGACCCAATGAATCAGCCTCAATGAATTGAATATATCATTTATTTGCATTCATCTGGAAGCGGACACTTTTACGAAAACGCAAAATAGTAATTACACGACATTATTCACTTCTATCCTTGAACCGGAAACTCCGCTACATTTTAACTCAATGTTAAACGCAATGGTTCAATAGCATTATTTAATTTGTTGTTCTGTTCTGTCACTGACAATAGCTCCGCAAACCAACAGTTGCCCGTGTTCGGTGCAGCTAAAAAAATGTGGACAGTTTCAATGACATCACGAATGAATGAGCTCTGATCCGATTGTTGTGCATTTAATTGAGAAATCTCCAAAAATCAAGTATTCTCTCATCCATCTAATTAATAAATTAGGGCCCTGAATATTAAGTAAAGGATATTTTGATGCATTTTGTTTAGGATAAGGAAAATCCGACTTTTCGTAACATGGATAAGTATTTTGGTCTAATCATGTTATCGGCATGGATCAAACTAAAGACGATTTTCTTTGAAATTGGGTTGCTACAAAATTTGTTAACTTGATCTGATATACTGTTCGTTGTTATATTAATGCTCTAGGATATTATTATAAGGTACTATTAACAATGCAGTCTGGATAGCAATAACAGTACCCTTAGACACCATATATAGGTACGGTATAAACCCGTGTATCGACTATTGCAGCGAACTTAGAAACTCAAGAGGATAACCCAATGGGGCGGAATGTAAAATTACATTTCATTTGCACATGCGCCACGAATGGTTTCTTTTCAGACAAAAGCAGGATATCTAATCACTGCATCTTATAGAAAAAAATAAAACACCGTTTGCCCAGACTGCTTCTCCGAATAAAGCATAGTCTACTAAATATCGTAATACAAACCAGAGTATATGTCAACCGGCCCATTGATCCAGTAATCAAGTGCAGCATGCTATCTTATGCGCAAGTATGAGTAAATAAATCTGGTAAAATCAATGAATTTATATTCCCTCTGTTCGCTTTGTCACAACCCAAGGCTGTGGAAGTGAATGCACCGATGAGACAATCTCCAGCTCCGGGGCCCATTATGTCTTCAGTAGCTCAACCGTTGGGTGTGGTGGGAAAGCCTTCTAGTGTCTTGGTTGTTGCTGACGCTTATAACAAATACAAATCAGACCTGGAACGGATGCGTGCCGAATCCATGCTGAGAGAGAATCGATTCCAACTGAATCCGCGATTGTTTGGAGAAAGTGAGCATGCGTTTGACCATTTTTGTGGGAAACTTATCCCGTCTCGTTCTGATTGCACTTTTATCAAATCAGTTTATTGATAGCTTTCTATTTGTTATCCCGGGACCGCTGGTTTAACAAACACTTGATGCAGTTCTAGGGGGCATTCATATTGTCGGGGTTCGAATCTCGCTCGGTTTTTCCTGATCCTTTACTAATCTCACAGAAAATTTCCCTCAAATAGTAGTTGAAACAATATAGTTTTCATTCAAAGTAACTCTTGTTGATGTTTTATAGTTGTGAGTCGAATTCAGTTTAATATCAGTCTCCAGCATCATGCCCATCTGGTTCAACAAAATTTTATGAGTTCAATCTAATTTATAAAAATAACAATGGTTTAAACGATGACTGAC